TCCAGTCAAGTCGCGAATCTAGCCGAGGAACGAACATTCGCAAGGTCACGACGCGACACTTGAGGGGCTCACTGCATCTTTTCCGCGGAAGTCTTCGCGGAACGAATCGAGCGCTTGCAAGAAGTTCCAAGAGAACTGAGACTAGAATCATATGCTGTATCACACGGTGCCCGGCATATGCACGGCTTGAGCACGTTTCCTTGTGCTCAACAATCATCATTCAGCACAAAGCACCTATAGGCATTGCCCGCTGAGCGGCCGAGCGGATGTCAGACAAGAGGAGCCGACGCCGACGCACGCAGACCACACGTGGATCACTCGTCCGCCCCGTGCCGTATGCTCGCGAACATGTAGACTGGGCGTGAGAGACGTTCTGAGCGTGCGAGAAATTGTTGGAGGGGATGCGCGTTCTGCAGGACCAACCGACTGGAGATCCGAGAAAAAAATGCCTATCATACAAGATTATTTCTGGCCTGAAGAATTCGGTCCCGGAATTTAGGCTGGTGTTGAATCATCGAATGTCATCGCTATCGCTATCGAGCTTTGCCGGTTTCAGCTCCACCAGGCGTGAGGGTGTCTGTTTCGGCGACGTCGGTCAGCGGGGCTTCTTTCGCTCCGCGGGAGCCTCGATTCGGACTTGAGGCGAGCCCCGAACTCCAGGCATTGGCTACGTCTCCATTCTCACGGGACAACTCCCCAAAGGAAATCCATTCCGTCACACGTTTTTATCATAGAAGTTCGGAAGATGAATAGGATACTAGAAGATTACATAGCCCGCCAATCTCCCGAACGTGGCCGATGGAATCACTGAATCACCGATACTGACTACCCAGATCTCGACTTCTCGTACTCTGGCCTTCCCATTGCGAATGAGACGTCACGCGTACCGTCAGGAGCGAATCTGTTTGCCCTGTTTTGATCTACGGTGAAACTTGGCGTTCCATCGAGACAGATGTATATCCCTGAAACCGCTGGTAGATATTAGCAGAAGTCCCGGATCCGTGGACTGCAGCAGTTCGAAAGAGATCTGCTGGTCAGGAGTCAGGAGTTCTCAGTTCCAGCCTGTCGAGGACCCGGGTAAACGAACCGAGAATCGCTGTTTCGTGACAAAGGGGTGGTGACATTCAGCCAAAAGTTCTGATCTTCTGTTGACGTCCCCGCCGCATGAGTTCGGGCAATAAAAAGTTTGTCAGCGCGCAGTTCTTGATCTACACTTTCTAACCACCCGTTTCCACCAGTAATATCCCTCCAGCGATTACACGATAGCCGGAGAACGATGCAAGATGATAAGGGTAGCTAGTCGGCCTCCCCCTCAGACAGTAGCATCTGGATATCCGAACGAAGTCCAGATTCGGCGACGTAGATCTGATTGCCGAGCGCGCGACGGCTGGGCTCGAATAAGGTAGCGATGAACGTGATCTCGACTGCGATGTACCTGTACAGACGGCTGGCTCCCTAATGATGAGCCACTTCCGGGAGAGGTTTTGTTCCTCTTCCGTGATGGTCGTCGATAGTCTGCGGAAAATACTTAATGCGCCTTCTCGCCATCATTTCCAGCGTCATGCGTGTCATCTGCTCCTCCGGCCTCCGTAGCGAAGGAGCTTGCTGCGCGAAGGGAGTCACGCTTTTCCGCGCATGGGGTCACTAATCCGCATCGAGTGCCGGGAGCACCGGCGTTTGCTGTGACCTCCCCCTGAGAATCGACCTTCTGTTATTTCACGTCGATTGCGCAGGGAAGGATTAGTGGAAGAATATAGCGAGCAACGCTCCCCGAGCACAACTTGCTCTAAGCGAGAGAAGTTGTTCTGAATCGAATTCGGGTCCACGAGCAACCGAATGACGCGGCCGAGACCATCGCGTGCCATGCTGTCGTTCCTCCTTCGATCGTGTCGCTGTCCAAACTTCCTTATTGCGTTTTTTTTTGAAGAACGCTTCCACGTGTTGAACGATATCCAGGCAGCTGTACCTCAGGGGAGGAACAAGGCTCGATCGCATGAGACGGGAACGGTAAGTCTCCGTCGCCTCGAGGCGACTAGGACTCACCGCAGAGCTTGGTCGCCTCGACCGGGATTAGAGTAGACGTCCAGAACTGATTTAAGCTTCACCTCAAGTTTGAAAATGCCTGTGGTCAACGGATCCACCTGCTGCTCAGTGATATCGATGAAGAACTGTCCTCTTCCCCCTTCCCTCCCAACTCCGACTCGATATCGGTCTCGACGGAGGAAGGTCAGGCAAGTATTGCGGGGTGAGGTCCCCGCTTTTCCCCAGGGATCGACTCCACCGTTTGGTTTAATGGTGTTGAGCGGATACGGATGCTATGCTCATCGAGTCGGGCGTTCCAAGCTCGGAGACCCTCGAACTTTCGCGTCTCACGGCGCGCCGAGATCACAGGGTTCCCGTGATTATGTAGGGACGGAGACTCGGTTCGCTTCGCGGCTCCTCAGCTCCCGGTCGCTCGAACGGGCTCGTCGACTCATCTGCCCTGGACTGCGAAGCTTTTCAGGAAGTTCCGATGCTAAGGAATTCCAGTATAAGAAAAAAACAGCGATCGTCCAGGTGGTGCGGATTAATAGTTAGAGGCGGGACAAACTTCCCAGGCATCGTATTTCGCGCCGAAAGTCATGAAATGATCGCAATGTTGTCCGATCGCGTTGCCATCCCAATCAGAGAGTCCATTCCCGTCGATCCCCGGGAGGCTCGGCCTTGAGATCCGACTCCACCGGTGACTCCGATTGAATCGACATCAAGGGTTTCTCTCTGCCAGCTTTGATGTTCTTGCGACCAGAGTACCGAGCTACCCCCTCGATAGAATCGGGAACCAACTGGAGGACAGGGACCCGTCTCGCGGAAGGAGAGGCTGTTGTCAAGTCAGACCTTGAGTACCCCTGTCGTCTACACTCCACATGGAAAAGAAAAGGCGAGGTCCAATGAGTTCCACTTCGGTCTTATTTGCATTCAAGCGGGGAAAATCACGCGTGCTGGATTTCCCTCGCGAGAATCATTCACTGGGAGGATCGGAGACGATGATATGTTGACGAAAGAACATCGCATAATTCGAGACATAGAGGGATTTCGCGAAACTTCCCCCGGGAACGAATTCCCCTCTGTCGTCCCTCTCCGATCGTGAGGCAGATACTACGCATTCAAGTCGCCGCATCCGCGACCCTGAGAGTCTGCTTCGTGCTCAGCAGGCACTGGAATTGGGGTAACTGGTCAGATGGGACTACGGTGATTATTCCTCTCGGAACCCCGCGAGCTGGGGCTCGAGTCTCCGCGTGGAGGATCTGAGAGGCGGCGAGTCAAGAATCGGGGAGGGGTTTCAAGTCAGATTCTATACCGGTAGATATTCAAGCTAAGGACGATGCGGTGCTTGAGGGTATGCGTGGCCCGGAGCAGTAATGCGCAAAATCGTAACCAATCGAGCGAGGGGCATCCGAAGCTCTGGTGTGGTCACAGGCTACAGGCAAGTTGAAGCCGGATACAAATTTAGCCCTCTAATGACTAACCCGTGCCAGGAGCAGGGCACCTGGCCATCCCTCCCAGGGTCCATATGCTCTGGTACTTCGGGAGCGTTATGTTCATACCGGGCAGCATCAAAGACCTGTCGCGGGAGACTCAGCTCCCCGCAGGATAACACTACATCGATTTCCGATTTCCTGTCATCAAAGGGACTGGGAATCGATCGCGAATGGGAGTTTGCCCTTCAGAAAGACTGATGACGCGTCGAGAACACGGATCATTCAATTTTTTCCGATCGGGCAGCAACTTGGCATAGTATTGGATCACGACCGAAGCGCTAATTGAGAGTTCGATAAGAAAACAGGTCTCAAACTCGTAGAACTGCGCTAGGAGATCTTCTAACGTCGATTAGTCCACTCCACGTACGTATGCCTTGTTTTTCGCCAGGAGGCTCTGTACTCGACAGATCCTTTGCGTAACGCTCTCCTCGATCTGTCTCGGGGAGCTGGCAAGTTGCCATTGACGTCATCCCGTAGGTTCTGTAGGGAAGCGAAATGGTACTGCCCCACTTCTTTCAAAACGAGCCTCGAGCCTGAAATCCGTCCACGGCTCATCTTTCACGTCCATCGTTTCCGTAGCGAGACGGATTCCGTGAGCTCGGGGAAATCCATACGTTGCACTTGGGGGGAGCATCACACAAGCGCTCTATTATTATTGGAGATCGTTCGACAATAACCTCGGATCGCGCGACGTTGTGGCACGTCCAGGACAGTGACCTACGACTTCGCTGTCTCCCGTCATTGAATTGTTTCCTGCGGCGCGGTTCATTCTGCGGGACGAGATGATGTGTGCCTTGGTTCGGTATGACATCACAGGTCTCAATCTCCGTCTCTGCCTGTCGAACGATCATATAAACAAGGGTTAAAGCTCGAAGCGGCTCGAGATCAAACGGAGGTGCAGTATGTCCGCCTGACGTGTAGCGATCGAGCATGGAAGTGTCGTAGGAGCTCTAAATGACGGAGCATCCTCGTGAGCCGGAGGGGAAAGCTCATTACGGGAGGCTTTCGCTGTTCGATTTGGCCTTCTCGCTCGTGTTCTCCGTTTCATTGGCTGCGTGATGATCTTCACCGCCTCACCGTGTAATCGAAGAAAGACCGTCTGACATAGACTCACAGGAGCCACGTCGAATATCGTATGAGCTCAACCTAATGAAGTTCACGAGGCCGAAGAAAATCGAAGTGGTGAGCGATATGACCGATAAACACTCTCAGGGAAGAGAACTCCACCTTGCTCAAGCAGATATTTTCATTCGCTAGATACTCAGTCAGTCAGACAAGCAACGACGACTGATCCGTCAGTCCGTCCGAGCAGGCTCGAGGAAGACTCCGATTTTCCCAAATTCGGGGACTCAAGGAGAACGCTCATCGAAACTTGGAGAGATTAATCGGTTCAAGTGACTCGAGTTCGACCCTCGGAATTTGATTTCATCGTTGCACTCAATCCATTCAGTTACCTTACTTTGTGCTCGGCGTTCTCCCCCTATGGAGGGCGAAGCGGTCCCAAGAGACATTCTCGTGGACTTGGAGGAAGCTGAGATATCCAATGTTCGTGAAGTTCTATTCGATACGACTCGGACCCTCCCGCAAGCGCTACGGAACACCTGGCAAGGCATGGGAAACAGCGTGGCGATGGTGAGGATTCAGGTACCTAGATGCTATTGGATCTGAGAGAGTGCTCTTACCTTTCGCTGCAAGATTCCAGCGTCGATCGGAGAACTGTCGCCACTGCGCACCTGTCGCGGCGGAAGTTGCGCAGATCAGTGCCCCCTTCTCCATTTCATGTTTGAATATACTTTGCCTCAGCAGTTCGATATATGAATCGGAGCTCTTAGCGTCTTAGCGGTTCCTCATGTACAATTGCCTGATTAGAACCTCATTCTCTTAACCCTGACAGAGTTCTTACGCAGGCACGAATTCAGAATCATCCATTCTCGCTCCCGGATTCGGAAATATGAAGTTCTGACGGGGATTGCCGTTTTTCGCTCGCGACTTGGGCCACCCCAGCCGGCAGAAACAAAATTTCCTTGTTGAATCATGGGTGGTCGAAGACGGAAAACTGGCCCTTGGTCCAACCGCGACAGCCCAAAGGGCAAGACGATCGCTGAACGGAGAAAAAGGCTCAAGGTCGTCTTAATAACCGGGAATTCTTATTGCAAAGACCCATGGCTACACTGGACGTCAGCTTAGATTTTCGGAGCTCCTCGAGGCCGTCAACCGGTTGGCGAACGCCTTCCATGCTGAAGGTCTCCGCCAAGGTCAAGCGATTCTTGTGCTGGCCCACAGCTCGCTCGAGGTCTACATGGCCCTTTTCGCGGCCTGGTTCATTGGTTGCGTCACAGTTCTCGCGAGTAGCTCATGGTCATTCGGTGAGTTCCCCTCGCCCCCGATCCGGATAAATATAGGAATCACAATACTGACACAATAGAGTCAGAATTAGAAGGAGAATAATGATTAATGATCATTGATGGTGACGGGTGATGAATGCTCTCATTAAAGCCTATCCTTTTCCTCATTCCATCACGCCTAAATCAAAACTCGACGGTGAAGGAACCATCTCGAAGGTACTTGAGCGATGCAAAATGGAATTCGTGATCGCAGATGGGACCTCCATATCCCTCGTGACAAAACTCGCGGATTTGACCCATGCTAATTTCAAGGTAAGGGTCGACTCTGACCCAGAGTGAGGAAATTAACTGGTCCGTTCATGGTTTGCGATGGGAATGGTCCACAATCTCTTTTTGGAGAATCTTCAGGGATCCCGCATCCGATGAGTGTGAAGGGTGGAATCCGGAGTCCGGGGGCTCATCCCGCCTATTGGATATCTTGCAGCGAATATTCTACACTGACGACCCACTCTCAATTCCGATGATGCTGCAATCTTGCTCTGGGGAGCAACTGACTGATATCGGATTTCCTGTAGAATGTCATCCGGAGGATGTCCTTTTCGTTGCTTTTACATCGGCAACTACCGGCGAGCCTAAACCGGTCCCCGTGACTCATTTCAGCTTTCTTGCGATGACTGCCGTTTCCTTGTGAGTTTCTTCTTCTTTCGAACATCTCAGTGGCCACCTGCGAAGTTGCATCCAATCAAGAAGCGCTAGTCTGTTGCGATATACCGCATGCAGGTATCCAATTGCAAGATTGAGCTAGCGTCGGATTAAGAATTAGTAGCTACCTTCATTCTTCTCAGGGATTGTGGTTTATACGGCACGGACAAACACCTCCTGGTGTGGGCGCCCCCTCATCACATCGCGGGGATCACCGTCACGACCGCGTCTATGCTGTGCGGAGCGAGGATCGTCGTAGTTCCCGAACGAACTGCGCACATGGACCCTCATCAGATCGCCTTCATCTGTGAGAATCACAAGGTGGGCTTATTCGAGCCAGCATGGTAGCAGACGAGAGGATCTTTCCCGCTACTTTTGTTGTGCTGTCGTTGTATCTGCTGTGTCGATCTCGATCAGCTCCTCTCTCATGTCCTGATCGATGCCCAAGGTCAACTGTCTCATCGGGTGCTCCGACTTCATCAGCGGCTTACTGCAGAGGAACCTGCGGCATTGCTTCGAGGGGATTTCCTCGGTTGTCACGACTGGATACTCACCCGAACAAGGACGACTGAGAGAAATGAGAGAATTCTTCAGTCTGAGAGAGGAAGTCAAGATAGGTGAGAGCCTGCCTCCGTGATTCCCACTCTTCCCTTTGTATTCCCCAGTTCCTCTCCGTATGATTTTGTCTGCTCTTCCTTTGTCCACAGCTTACGGAACGACTGAGACTATCGGACCCGTCCTCATTTCGTCCCAGGCCGAGAGCCCTCCGATGAAGGCGGTCCCGTTGCCTCACTTCAAAGTCCGTGTCGTGAACTCCCGGAACGAGCCTGTCGCTCCGGGCTTCGAGGGAGAAATTTTGATCAAAGGCACGTTTGTCGCCTCAGCCTATTGGAGTGGAACGAGTCGCGAAGGGGACGAGCCTCACGACGATGTCTGTCAATGGAACAATGACAATTTCACAAGTGACGGCTGGTTCAGGACAGGCGAGGAAGCTTCTTCTTTTTTTCTTTCCAAATTGAGACAATCGGACCGGAACCGAATCATCGTGTTTCAATGGAAGGGTCAGAACCGTGAGAGTCTCCAGACTCCTCCGCCGAAAAAATGACGAATCGAATGCTCGAAATATTGGATGGGTCGCGCTACTTGCGACTCCGCAGAATGTGTGGAGTCCTCACGGTAGGCCGTTGGAAATTCGCTGCTCGAGGGAGCGAGAGCAGGTGCTTTAAGCAAGGACTTGGACCCCGGCCAAGACTCCTGACTCACAGGCCAGCTAGAAAGATACAAGGGAGGCCACCAATCCGATTCAGGCACCATTCTGGGTTCTCTCTCATTCTCTTTATCCATCTACTGTGCTCACTGATCGTACTCGATATAAATCCTCAGGAGACCTCGGCCTGTACAACGAATACGGTCACGTGACGGTCATTGGTCAGATGCAAGACGTGATCCCTCTAGACAAACACCGCATACACTGCTCATTGCTCGAGGAATTCTTCCTCGAACACGAAGCTGTCCGAGAAGTCAAAGTCGTGGCCGTACCTCGAGAGAACGGTCTAGAAGTCATCGCCTGCATAGTCCCCGACCCGGGCACGCCGGATGCCGTGCTCCTGGCCGACCTGTATGACGCGATCGGTGAGAACTTTATGCAGCGTGCCACGTATCACTCATCAGAGCTCGAGTTACATTCGATCGTAATTCGTGAATACTCGTATTCGCGAAGAATCCCAGTCACAGAGCTCCGACCGCACTCTTGCATTTCAGACTCGTCGGCGTTCCCTGTCAATCGAGTTCACAGGGTATTTCTTTTCGACGACCTGCCCAGGACTGCTTGGAGACGACCTTCGAGGAGGATCCTAATAAGCCAATTAAGAACTACATCGCTCTAACGTTCACCTCGTATGATGTAGAATTTTGTGGTTTGCTCGCTCGACCAGAATCGTATATGAGTCGAATATTCTCCAAGAGTGCTCCTCGCTCCTACTCTAATGATGACTGAGCCGGATTTAGAACGTCAGAGCGCAGAGCAGGTGGCCAGCAGAGCGGGTATGGAGCGACTAAAAACAGAGTCGATTTGAAGTGACGATGTCAGTCGACGACCCAGCACTGTCGACGAGAGACCTTGGCGTAAAGCCAGTCCAGGAATACTCTCTGATCCTCTGAGGACACCAAGCGCTCCGTGTCTTTCTCGATACTGATGACGGATGACCTCCCTTCGAAGTGAGACTACGAGCGAGAACTCGTAAGCAGGCGGAGGGGGAGGGGGAACCTCATTCATCTGTCAAGATTACTTGGCTCAGCGTTCCCGTGATTTCCTTCAGTGTGCCGACCAGGGGGCTCATGGGGGCTTTTCGTCCCTTCAATCCTTAGCGAAAGCATTTTTCAGCGGCTGGGCTTCGACTCCGTGCGTAGTCCGCTGTTTGCTTGAAGTGACATAATTGATTTCGATTCCCCTACTTCTGGTCATGGAACAGTTTTTCTCGCACAGATGGCGGTACGTAACCTCAACAGATTTTGACAAGATTGAAACTAGTGACTTCAAGTATTCAGAGTCCATTCTCGAACTGTAGAATAAAGATCGGAGACATGTATCTGGGGAATGTTGACTGTGCTCCGTCGGCAGACGGAGTCCCGAGCCGAGATTTCAGCTCAAATATCGAATAGTCTCGTCTCGGTACTTACGGGACAGTGAGTAACGGCCCGTGTGACTTGAGAAAAGTCCCGGGCCGAGCAACTCGCTGGCTCGGATCCTGTTCTGTGCGGTGCTTTGAGCTCAGACCCGGAACAGAGTCACGATGGAGGTACACGGCTTCGATCCATTCAGGGTCTGGCCCGCCTCCTGGGTCAACTGCCAGAATTAGCCCCCGATCGAGCCGGATTAGGAATACAAGCAGCGTCTGATTAAGCTGGAGTCAGGCTGATCGAGATATATGATCACTTAGGTAATGCTCCCCGATTATATGCTAACCCTAGCCGAATGCTCTAATTTCCGAGAAGACGATGCCTTCGAAACGAAGAAATCTTGATCCATCGATTCGGTTCGGCGGGAGGATGGCACAGGCGTCTCGCTGACTGAGGAGACGACTCGGAAGTCCTGTGATTTCCGAGAAAGCCGAACCGCTGGTGCTAGTCGGAATACTCTGAACACTGTACGACTCGAGCCTCACGAAGGAGCTCCCTCCTCTACCGTGAACGTGCGATCGATTCCGTTAGCTGAGATGCTCGTTCGAATATCCAAGATGTCCCTTCCGCGGCGTGATCAGAGTCACGGACTCGAGAGTGCCCACGGTGTCCGAATACGGTCAGTTTCTCCCGGAGCCCAGCCCAAAACGATTGCTCACGTCGATTTTATCGCTCGAGACAAGTGTGAGCTCCAGAGTAAATAGAATTCAATGGAGCGATCCTCTCGGAGCTGTCAATGCGGAATCACGATGGTCGAATCAAATTGGAGCCGTTAGAGTCTTAGCCGGAAACGTTAAATCGAGAATCCGCTCATCTTTCTAGAAGATACGGAATTCTGTCAGCGCCTCCTCTTTCAGACGAGCGGCAGAATTTTCATGTGTATCAGACACTCATCATCCGAATAAAACATAGTGAACATGCGGAAAACTTCCTGCAGCTCAGCCAAAACAGCGGATCCGTTTATCCGCCAGTCGATCGGACGACTGACGAGGGATCTAAGCGAACATTTGTAATGGCCGATCGGACGGCTAGTCGTTGACCACGGTTTCAGATGTTTTGCTTCTTGGTCATTCGTCGATTCCCCCGGGTCGTTGGTTTGCCAGACTGTTTCCTTCGTCGGCCACTCGACAAAAGAAGGGAACCGGTTCGAACCGGAGCGCACCGGATTTCCAAACCCACACGATTGAATTGTCGTCAACGTAACCGCGCAACGTGGGAGAGAAAGAGCGAGTGGTAGCGAGAGAAAGGAGGACAACACACAATTGTAGGGCTACGAATGGCTGCGACGCTTTTCCTCGCTGCGTACAGTCGGCTCTCCTTGAAAGCTTTCTGTCGAACGACCGAACCCGACGGCGAAAAACGTCGAGTACTTCCAGCGCCCGAGAACCTTGGGTGACTATCTAGCGAACGTAATCATCTCCGTCGTATTCGGAAAGATAGAGTTGGGATCGCGCGCGCTGACCTTACTGAAAATCTGAGCGAGACTTCACTTCTTGTCCGGTCTCATCCCGATCTCTGCGGAAGTGTCTCGCCGCGGAATCCCGACAGACGGCGGATCGGGTTCGGAGATGTTCGCAGCACCGGAAGGATGAGCCTGCGGAAAATAGAACAACAATCTCAGTCGTGAGCTGTTGCACGGTCTTTCACGTCAAATGTAGGTGCCTCTGGCATGGAAGGCGTCGAGTCCCGTCATCAGGTTCCTGACGGTGCAATGAGACGGCGCGGCTCCAAGAGAGCATGGCGCTTCGATGGCGCGTGCTCGTGTTCACGATTTTGCTCCTCATCTCACTCATCAGATTCATGAGCTCGCTTCTGTGTCGATGAATAATCTGCTGACTCGGCCTTGAGTATATTTCGTAACACAGGACCTCAAGCTCCACCGGGAACGCGGTCCTGGGATGTTCCACCGCGCGTTGTAAAAGCGGCCATGAAAAAAAGACTCGCTCGCAACTCGCAACGTATTCAAAAAATGTTGTATCCCAGGCTCCACGAAAATTCTCTGGTCAATTACGCGAATCCTAGCACCAGCGCTCGGAGCTCAGTCGTCCAATGTCTGCCATGCGAGGCGGAATCCGCCGACAAGCGCTACTCACTCAGATACGCTGGTAGATTGATTTTAGAGTTTTTGGTGAATGCCCACAGGACTTATCGCTGGAACATACCAAGGTCAGTTCGTTCTCCTGTCGTCCCTTGTGTCCTCGGCAACGCATCACATCGACTGTCAGGGCCGACTTGTCTTCCCTGGAAAACTTGCTGTGTCCATGGGCCGCGGTCTCGACAGTTCGAGTTGCGCAGGACCCTCGAATTGCCGGAAATATCCTCTGAGCCTACAAGAAGCGACTGTGACCTCGAGAATCCCCACGGCCGGTCCAAACTCATTGGGAATATCGGGAAGGAAGCAATGGAAGCTCAAGTTTCTGCGACATTTTCCTCTGTGCCGCGAGAATGTCGACACCGCCGAAAGATCGGGCAGGACTTTTCCTTCCCCGGAGCGCCCTCTGGTGGTACAAGACCAGTATCGTCAAGGCGATCGAGCCGATCGAGAAGAAATTGCTCGTCAGTGTATTTTTACACCTCGTAGCGGTCATGACGAAAGTGCATCCGATCGCAGGGAGATATTCCCCTTCAGAACAAAACATACATAGAATAAATCGACGGCTGATGTATTGGAGCCCGAATTGGCGAATGCCCCTGCTGCTTCCACTCATCATTTTTTTGGGGAGCTTCCCATCCAGGCTGATACTTTTTTTGTCTCCGAGCTTTATCCTCTGTGGTGGAGACCAGTCGACGTGCCTCTACTACGCTAATTTTAGCGCGAAACCCTCGGATTAGTCCTACACCGAGGGTGGGTACCGGTTTCGAAAGGTCTTAACACGTCCACACTTTCCGTCAGCGCAATAGCTCCATTCACCTTGATGGGGCAGTCATATAAACTCGATCAAGTGCCCCGCTGCTAAAATTAGAAGCTTTCACCGAATATCGCATCTCGACGCTGTATTGACGTCTTTTTACTTTTACTGTCCACCATTCTGAGACAGCCTACTCACGACACGAAGTCCCGTCGGAGAGATTGATCCTCAAAACTCGACGTTTCGGGTATTTGAAATTTCGTCGATATCGCGTCCGTGCTCTACGCAGTGGTAGCAGATCGACTGCAAGTAACATAGAAAGCATCACTCCGAGACATGGACCACCGGTGCAGTGGCCCCGGAGGAGCGTATTTGCGTTTCCCTGTCACAAGAGCCTTATCAGATATCATTCTCTCGTAATTCCGGATTCAAAGGAAGCAGCTATGATGGTAGGCAAGTCTTGATGAGCTTGCTTGCCAGGAGATCCAGGAAGTCCAGTTGGGAAGGGAAGGCGGAGTTTCCACCCATCTGACCATCCATCATGTGAAACCCGAGGGGCTTCCGCCGCCCCGTCGGCTCAAGCCTGGCTCTTATGACGATTGAGCATATGTTTCTCTGAGTCCGATGGGAACTACTTGGAGAACTCTGACTACAGACCGGATAAAACTACCTGGAGTCAGCAGCTTGATGGGGTCCCCTTCGAGAAGCTTTGCTCAGAAGAATGCCCCGATGATCGGCGTCCTGTATAGGTGCGACTGTAACAGCCTACTCCAAAATGTTTCCTTCGTGAACCCTTGATGTAGAGCACTAAAATAGTGGCGCGGTCGTACTCGGAATTTCGCCTCCGCACAGAGAATCGAGCTCAATCGACTCCCGTCGTCGTTCGGACGGCACTCCTTACTCGATCTAAACTCAGACTTCTTGTTACTTGATCCCCTTCCCTCCCCTACGCTGATTGATCGCAACGCGGATCTCCGAAGTGCGATCTGATCACTAAATCTGACAGATATCCTATTGTGAGATGAGGATCACTTCCCCAGCGAAGACCTCGGTCAGTCGCATTGTTCCTCCTTCTTCCTCCCGGAAAAGCGGGTATTATCCCAGGAATCCCGGAGCAGACTATTATAGGAAGTCGGGTATGAAAAAGTCCGTAACAGATTAGGGATTCGACTCCGTGACCTGGTAGGCTCCAGTGGAATGAGATCCATCCCCTGGGGAAGAGGACTTGAAGAGCTCAATCCTCAACCCTGGACTCGGGTCCACTAGGCAGGCTTGAAGCTTCACTACCTCTCATCGCAAGTCAACTCTGCAGGACCAGCCGCGGGAACATATATTCTATATCTGGAGAAAGTGTCGGACGCGGAAGCCCGGACTTATGAATTTATGTGTATGTACACCGACCAGCAGGTTTCCCTTGACTCGTCTTATGCAAACGGGGCGATTCTGGATTATATGCCCCAATTAAGCACACATGAGGAAAGAAAATTCCGATCTAGAGGTTTGTTCTTTTATTCTCCCGAGTCTGGAGAGATCCAGTCTTCTCCGGCTCGGATATCATGATTCTCGGGATAATTCCTTTCACGGGATGAGAACTCCAATCCTGGTAAGGCTTCGATGTGAACTTGGAGCACAAGTAAACAAAGTATCCGTCGCATTTCCTCATGGAGATTCTGTCATACCGTCGGTATCGATTTTTCAGATGGTGGAATCACCCTCTACGAGTCGATCTGATCGCCAAAAATGAAACTCTAGGGATAGCTCTATGGGGGAATGTCCCATCAGTCAATCAATCAATCAATCAATCACTTCGTCATCCTGCCGTTTGATATGGTGCTGCACAAATATCTCACGAGGTTTCCAAGTTCTCTAGTGTCTGGCAAGCGGATAAATGCTCTCACTTCGACTTTGCTCGAAAATACGCTGCTTTCTGTCCCGACACCTCGGGACTTAAATACATGAGTCTGAAAAATACATGAGCCCTGTTCCCCCTACTCCTAGGAGACCACTGCCTGCTAGCCTACTCATATCTCGCTCGACCGCTGTGTCGCCTACGTATGTAGATCTATCGACTCGCTCTGCGCTAACAGCCACTCTTTGTGTATCACATCCCATTCATCACATGAATTTATTCTATGTCGAAGCGCCTTTCTGGGTGAATGAAGCGGATGAACAGTCTCGCTCAGCCATCGGATAGGCAACGAAGAAATCACCGAGCACGGAATGGAATAGCATTCAGTACTTCGTGAAATCGGTTTATGGCTGAACGGCTGGCTCGACGATCTCTCAGAACACTTTCATTCCATCTCGATGTCGGTTTCGCTGCTTTGAGACGAAGAGGACCTCGCCTTGCGAGGTCCCTCCGTATGTCAGGTGGTCGACTGAAGTGAACTGCTCCTGCGTTGCGGACCTCTCGGAGATTTGTAATTAATGATTGGGCTGTCGAAGACCGCTTGAAGTCCCGTGAGAAATGTATTGTGACCCATTTTGATGTCACCGTTGAGCGATTTCATTACGCTGAGAGCGATCGATGCCTGTAAAGTCCAAGGGGAGCCATCAGATGATTCTCCCCGAGACTCCGATATTCATCTAGAATAAAATTCTCGTGAAGTTCAAAAACTATGAGGCTCATCCGACGAATAATGCAGTCTGCCCGCAGCGTTCAACCGAAGAAGTCTCAACCTCGGCCGATCAGAAGAAAAACGTGAAACCTATGATTTCGCATGCTGTTCGTTCGAGGCCTCCTGATAATTCGTAAAATCTACGTCGAATGTCGCGATGCGGATAATTGAGTTGACCCATTTCGTCCAGTGCCGTGTTCGACGAAGTCACGCTGTAGATCAAAAGCGACAGAACGTCTGCGGACGATGAGACAGCCCAGGCGGTCTGAACGTCTCCGATTCTTCATGGTAGTACCCGAGTACCCGTAATGCATCGGCGACGGTAGCGGTGATGATGCTTCGACTTTTGAAGCGGTGGCAATCTCATCGAGTTTAAAAAAGATACGGAGCGCTCAGCTAATTCATAAAGCAGAGCGTCAGAGCAGGAAATTCGCGCTCACTCGATCGCTCGACCGTTTCGACCATCAACCTACTTACGACGAACGACTAGAAGTACGGACGTCTACGTCTCTCTTAAAGTGACGGAGCCACCCGTTTGAGCCGAGTCGCGGGCTCATGATCGGAGCCGAGAAATATGAATGATTCGGAGCGAATCGGAGACCTTGTAGAATATCAGCACCTCCGACTTCAGAATACAGCAGCCGTGGAATCCAGAAACGATCCGAGCAAATCCTCAAGATTGAGTTCGAAAGAGACCCCAGAATCCCGGAAACTTGGGATTCCTTGTGACGGGACGCGTCACACGAACTCGCGTCACCGCGTGGATATTTCCTAGAGTTGTGGGACTCGGAGAACTCACGCTTGCGGAGCTACGACCCATGTCATTGTCATTGCATGGAATCCGTCTCTTCAGTGTCAACTGAATCATTATCGATCAGGACTCAATATCTGCAATGCAAAGCAGATAGTTTCCAAGCGAGGGATGAATGGTAGCCGAGTGATCGACTAGGAAATCGAAAGACATTGAGCAATTTAGGTATTCAAGATGCACGGGCATGGTTCATTCCAGAACGATCAAAATCACTGGGACGATAGCGCTCCCGACCAGAAACGTTGGACACATTTGCTCGACGTTCTTGAGGCTATATTCTGGCGGCCTTGACCCGATTGTCAAACGCGGCGCAGAGAAACCCAGACAGGATCCAGCGCCGTCGCCTGAACGTATTGCGATGCCTAAGGGCAGCTGGAAAGCCCCCCCTAGTGCCTTCCATCTCCTTTTGCCTCCCTCTCCAGCGACGGTCGAAGACCAGGGATTTGCGCAGATCGGCCGTCGCGAACTAGAAAACTCGATTCGGGGACAACCGCCTGATGTCGCGACGCGGAATCTAGCGCGAGATTCCTTCCCGACTTGTACGATACATACGTCTAGGACGACGACACGTCCCTCAAACTCGAATAATTTAATTCGGACAATCGATCCGCTTGTTGAGCTTCATTCTCCGCACGGGAGGAAGAGGCGGAGGAGACGAACGTCGTACCTAGTGGACATCGGGGGAAATTACCTGATCGCTCCATCCGTGGCCGTACTTCCACTGGGTCACATAGAACTCGGCGTTCCTCGTGAGGACATTGTACTCGACCTTCTGATCGAGATTCTCGAGCGCATACTGAACGACTTTCTCCTTCTCAAGGGGCTTGACGCCTCGTTCTCTCGCTCGCACAGATTTATTGTTCACCCGAACTCTCGAGCAGCCCGCAACCTGCTCCAACGACGACTTCTGCACAAATGCCCAATCGGTCGGTATGTCCTCCGCGTTGGGCCCAACGACGTGGACCACTCTGCCGTCTCCGACGTAGACAGCCCAATGGATGTAGAGCGTGCGGTCGATTTCGATCAAATCTCCAACCTTAGGAGTGAGTTCGGGCACAGTCACGAATTGGCCCAAACTCAATAATTCACTAGAACCAGGCATTTACGCTGACGTTTATCATTCGTTGATTTATCTCCACTTTGCGACGCGATTACGGAGCTCCTCGTCATCAAGGATCCGGGGCGGAATGATTTCCGTCTGGCGTCCGCACTCTGACACGTGTGGAGATACGACGTCGAGAGAGAGGACCGTATTGGGTGAAAGAACGTGCCGCAGCGCCAACGGTGGTCTCGCAATGAACTACGAACGAACGCCTAGCTCGGAGAATCGTGTCCCCGTTTCGGTGTAAACGGTGTTTACGGTCGGAACAAGAGATTCCTATGAGGGGCAACTTGAGACAGCTCTCCGAGTCGGGAGACAACTCACGCAGGCAGCTCCTCTTCGAGCAGCCACGTTGCGTTCCGAGATATCCAGGCTAGAGGTCTGATCGTCCAGCGAGGAAAACATTCCGATGATTACTCCTGGGAATGGCGCTTAGTTCAGAGCCTCCTGGAAAGGTCTCTGGGAGGACCGAGCGTACTTTCTGAGCGGAACTGTCCGCGTTTTTCGGAAGCGCTTCCTCCCTGCGAACAAGGTGTGGACCCTTCGTGCTCGCGCTCCAACATTATACAATTTATGTTCCGGACCGATTGACGGCATTAATGAGCCATTCGCGAGTCATGTCTCCGCTCTACCAGCTCCCATTCTCGAAGAATCTATCAGATCTGAGCTTTATTCACAACGAACGATGTTCCCTGCTGGCGATCCCGCAGGAGTTTCCAGATCCAGAATGCTCCCTGATTAGTTTCCAAGGAGTTTTGATGTATGTATTCTTCGCTAGCAATGACTGTTCCCATGACAACCATGTTCTATTGAGATCTCGCCGAGGGAATGGAAACGAATCGATGCTGTAGCGCGTCATGCGGGGATGGGAGTAAGTCTCGGAGATGTTTACGAACCAGCGATCTCTCAGCGAGATGTCATCTGCGCTCTCGAGAAGGACTGACTGAGCGGGACAGCCTTGAACCCCGTGCTCTTGTCAACAGATCTTGCCTTGATTCCGTCTTCCGACTCGGGAGCGGAGTGAAAACGCGATGCTAGGTTCCCGAGAATTATTGCTCAGAGCCTCGGAGTTCGAATCCCGCCCTCGCAGTGCAATTATTATCTATGTATTTACCACATCGATATCCGGCCTGTATACATTGTACGACGGCAGTCTCGAGACGCAGGCCACGAGCGGACGGGGCGAGTGTGAGTGTTGCGAAGATCTGAAGCGGGGAGTGATCCCGACTCCCGATGACCTTGGCGAGCCTCGGAAAGATTCCGCTCGTTGCTAGGGGACGACTTTCGCCGCGGGATGCGCAACTCCCGTCCCTCGGAAGCTGGGAATCGCGGCCGGAGGAAATACCCCGAGAGTTTTCCAAGACTCGATAAATGCGTGAAAACGGGACGGGAATGCGCTTGGAACACGTTCTGAAGCTCCATTTCTGCCACGCTTGTTGACGCTTTTCATTAGTTCCACTCGATATCCCTATTTTCGAAAATCGCGAAAACGATGTCAAAAAAATTCGTAGTGGCATGAGACGCATCGCGGAAGGGTCGCCTCATCACGCATTCGGCTTTTCACGAGATTTGTGAATGAATATTCGTATCACGGAGTATGACATGAGTCGGCAGAAAGCGACCGTCGAGTGGCCAGAGCAGTCATTTCCATGCTCTATCTGTTCTCTGAATTATTCCGATTCCGATAGCATCCGCTTTTTCGAGTAATAGAATCCGAACACTATCTACCGCGGACCGGAGCCAACCTTTTACGGATCACGGCGCGGCAGACCCGCTGCGTCACCACAGGGGCTCGCCATAGGCAGGTTGGCGGACGTCGAGACAGAGGTACATTCCAGAAACCAGATGCAAGGAATATCGAGCAATCTAATTCATTCGACAAGGTGAGCGATACGCCTAGAACCCCCATGGGGATTTGCGTCGGGATCCTGTTCCGGGCATGGTCAGAGCAGACCGCTCGATATTTCCTTCCCATGTCCCGACTGAGAATCGGAAGGCATCCTCACCAAGTCCAGGAACCAGGACCTTGGGCTCTTCTCTTCGCTTCCCTCTTCTCCCCTTCGGCAACAATAGTGGCTCCGGTACGCCCTTCGTCAAGTGGTCGACAACGAGTTGTCTCCAAGCGCGTTCTGCGTGAGATGGATGGGACCTGATTTGACGAGGGTAAAAGCGACTGAGCGGGCCGTAGTAAACTGTCAGGACGCAAACGGATACCTCCAGACGCAACAGTAGAATCCCGTTAATTCGCGCTCGAATTCCGGGTCCACCGCAAGATTCCATATCCTCTGTCTCTATCCCTCCGCCTCGAGTCCCGCCGCTAGGAGCTGCAGGGACCCGGGGCGCAGGGGTTCACCGTAAGGGCTCACATGGTCATGGCCTTTGGGAATAAGGAACCTAATCCGACATTTGCTCGGGAGAAGGGAAACCCAAGGTATCGCAAAGCGATATCCGTGAGGAACGGCTGGCAGCTGGACTCGAACCAGTGACCCCCGACTCGAGACAACGCAGATGCGCTCGACGCAGGTCCAGATGCGGCGTGCAGGTCGCTCTGGCCGCTCGGCTGTTCGTCGGCTGAATTTTTGAGGGTTCCTTGCTGTATCCAATTTGATGATTGCGTTGGAACGGGTTCGGTATTCCAGTAGGGGATTCTGGCGCGCTAACGATGAGCGATTTCCTTGTAGAGTTTTTTTCCAGAGGTTCTCAAAGCCATCATCCAAATCTCGGAGACGGATCATCCAAGGATCGGAGAGAGTATTTTCGGCAACGGTTCGATTCAAGAGCATTTCTTTCGAGCGCTCGCTTCCAGTACGCTCGAAGGGCGGAAGCAATGGACACTAGCTCCGGGCAATCGTCTTGTTTCGTCGAGCTGATCAGATACTCCGATCGGACAGGAAACGTGAGCAACAGGGACGAGATCCCCAGCCGCGACTCCTCAGGACTTCAGACCATAGGCCTATCACCTACCCAGGGAAATGTAGGTAGCTGGATAATCGACCTGACACATGGCGTCATGAAGCCGAGAGCTTGCCTCGACTCGTTCTCCGTCACGTCCCCGGTCTGCGCATCGTGCTCTGCCCTCCTGGCGCCCCTCTGAACTGCAACTCATGCTAACCGTCTAGGAGTTCCTCATGGAGATTCGCTAACATAAGAGAATTTAGATTAGTCTCTCAGAACGGGTCTCGAAACAAATTTCACTGAAGTACGTAGTACCTATATGGAATATATCGGTCTCCCCGAAATCTTCAGAGATGTCTTTCTTCCGGACCATTCTGTCCCACCGAAATAAAGATTTTCATCGCATCCGGCCAGCAGGATGATCTCATGTGCCAATCACTTACTCTGAATTCATGTCCTCACTGGTCGGGTTGGTGCTCGGAAAACCTCTAGGAACCTCCCCCTTCCGAGGCGGACTGATGTGAGACAATCGAATACATATAGATGGAGAAGAGCCTCTCAAGATTCTCAAAGTGCTTCTTTATTCTACTTGCTCCTTCTAGTGACTGCATACTCCTGGGGCGGTCAGCGGGATCGCTCTCGAGGCAATCTCCACGTGGGAGAGACTCCCCGCGGGACTTCACGCGACATAGGTACTTGTAGACGCGATCCTGCCGCCCGATACAAATAAATGCTCTGTTCTGCTTCTTCCTCGCGACTCGGTCAGGATCGATGATACGATCCGAATTCGCCCCCTCGGGAGCTTACAGAATGACAAATCGACTATTTTTCACTGGATCTGCTCATTGTTCAGAGTAGTCTTCTCTCATCCCCTCCCTCTCTCCAGTAAGACTATTATAATACATTCACACGTATCACATTTCATTCATCACATGAGTCGCACGAACTAGTTTTGGTAGTGATGGTAGCTTCGGAACTGACGGCACGTCGAAGATGATGTGGACTCTAAGAGTTCCTATTCAAGTCCGATTTCAGCCTGGCAGTTTTGCGAGCTCGAAGGCACCGCGATCCGCGGTCCACCGAGGGGTCAGGTAGCCGAGACAGGATTCGATTGCTGTGGCGCTCCTTTGGTTGCTTTGCAGCTGATGAGCGGACCGCCAAAGACCGCTTGAAGTCCCGTTAAGAACGTGTTATGGCCGAGTTTGAGGTCTTCGCCGAGTGATTTCATCACGCTGAGAGCGATAGCGGCCTGAAAGGAACGGTGAGTTGATAATAATGTGCGATTCGAGGCTTCGTACGAAAAAGAAGACGCAACCCGAGGCACTGTCGAGCTCGCAGTCAGGATCATAGAAGAAGAGCATCGCACCGGAATCGCGAGAAAATCAACGCGCTCACAGTGAACGAAATTCCACACCGCCCACTCTCAACAGGTGTCTCTGTAATAATTGTAGAAATACGTGCACGGAGCCCCGGACACGCTCGGCAATCGCTGCTATTCTAGGCTCAATTAACTTGACCCGATTCCGAACTGTCGACTGAGCTGGCGGCGGAAATTATTCAGGCTTTGCATGTGTTTTGCTCGAAGTAGAATGTCGGCATTTCCAGTTGGTCCGTTTCTTGATGCCTTCCCACCTATTGATATCCTTGGCTAACCGTCGCTAATATGCATCTCAATCGAGATGAGTCTCTCGGTTCCCCTAGAATATGATCGAGGCTAGAACTTGAGTGGAGCTTCCACAGCCTAGAACATTGTCGACGCCGAAAAGAGACTCATTGTCCATAGCTGTCACCTCTCGCTAAACCTCTCGTGAGCATCCTGATTAGGTCCTTGAAGTTGTAAGCTGACGCACCTAATGAGCTCTGATCCAATAGTACCGAGATCACATCCTGTTATTCTCAGATGCGATGAACCACAATGAATCAGCCATCTTATACAGGATGATAACACCGAAAACGAGCACTCATCAGAGGAGCGGTGTCGAGCGCAGTCTACATAGAAGTAGGTCAACGAGCAGATGAGCGACTACATCGCGTGTCCGGCCGGAGTTGGGGAAACGTAAGGTTGGTTTGCGTTACTAGGTCAACGACGCGAATCGATGAACGAAACCTCAGACACGGGTCGATTATACCCTCGGAACTTACTATCACCACCTGTCGTTATTCACAGAGGTTTGGGGCCTCGACTCAGCGCCCATGGGTTCAGCAACCCCGGGAGTACTGATCTGATCATGTTGCGGTTCTCGCTCTCACGCTCACATTTGCGCAAAGCTCAAGAGGCGGGCATCGCAGAGATGAGACCTGTACGATCAGCCCCCCAAATCGCATGCGACGAGACGCTGAGGTATATCCCCGAATGCCTTCGCTGAATATAAGATGTGAGCGTGAACAAAGGAGTCTCGGAGCACGTGAGCGTCTTTGAATGATGCCGGAAGAGCACTGGAGAGCTAATTATTCTACAGGATACTCTAAGCATGGCTGCTGCCCACACGATTACAATGCTCAGACAGTCTGTTTCTCTGCAAGGCCGAGCAGCGTCTGACCCAATTAAAAAGCCTCGGGCTCAGCTAGAAGCCCGTCACAATGAGCGACACATCGCAGCAAAGAAATCGCATTCATTACCATACCGTATACGAAGACACCCTCTTACGGTGGCTCTTCCCATCGAACTCTGGGTGAGCGTATCATCCAGTGAGGAATATCTCATTCTGAATGAATAAAATTCAGACAAAAGTATCACAAACACAAGAAATATGAGCGGTAAGGCTTCTACGTTGGTTTTCCATACCTGATCACTCCAGCCGTGTCCGTACTTCCATTGGGTCACGTAGAACTCGGCGTTCCGCATCAAGACATTGAACTCGACTTTTTTGTCGAGTTGCTCAAGAGCTCGTTGGACAACTGCGTCTTTGTCTAACGACTTCATCCCTCGCTCCTTCGCCCTCACTGACTTGTTATTCACGCGCACTCTGGAGCATCCTGCCACCTGTGCAAGGGATGATTTCTGGACGAGAGCCCAATCCGTTGGGATGTCTTCCTCGTTCGAGCCGACAACATGAACGACGCGGCCGTCGCCCACATACAGGGCCCAATGGGCGTACAGGGTACGGTCAATTTCGATCAGATCTCCCACTGAGGGCGAGAGTTCCGATGCGGGTACGAAATGACCAAGATTCTGTAATTCGCTGGAGTTCGTCATTTTCGGCCACCAATGTCATTTACTGAAGTTGATGTTTTCCTTGCGAAGAGACAACGAGGAGTACGTCTCTCTTCCGTGTCATCTGGCAAACTAGTCCGATCACTGCCTTCCCCGACACGTGTTCCAAAGCGAGGGGGAGAGGTGGAGGCCTGAGTCGGGTGAAAGGAGGGCTTGCAGCGCTCGCAGTGGCCACCTAGGGAACGACGGGACGCCTAGATTAGTCTAGACCGTTCTAGACGGTTGCATGTAGTATATCGCAGATTCTGAATCGCCCTGATCAAACACAGGTGCATCAGGCATCTCACCATCGGCTTCCCTGAGGGATCCGGATCACGATTCTCCCACCGGATCTCGCTGGAGTCTCCTTGTTCCTATCTCAATAGAAATTTTGAGAGCCTCAGCCTCCGAATGTATGCTATACAAAGCGCTCGAACGTTCCCTCCCTCCGATCCTTTATGCCTCCCTTCGATCGCGGAAATCCGGAAGTATCACACAAAGTTTCCCGGGAGAGCGCGATTGGAAGAGTATGTCGAATTTTCTTACCGCTGTGGTCTCTAAATTCACATTTACCCCGCTGTCCCTATCGGAGCGGATGCCGACAGATCGATGAGAATGCAATGGTGAGCACTGATCAGCTCAGAGTGGCGATGTTTTTTGCCGGATCGGAGACAGGATTGGAATTATCCCTCCGGAGCTTCAGAAATAGCGGGCGAGTTCGTTTATTAGTTTCACATGTACCCTGCGATTATCAATTATCCTCTATGACTGTTGCCTTACTCTTTTCGCAGCTGAACCTTAGTAATGAGCGCACGCGCATTTAGACCACATCCCTTCTCAGCTCTCCCTGTGCTCTCCATTGAATTTATTTTATTTCAACGTAGCGCACCTAGAAGGGACGGGCTGATACTTCAAACCACAGGAAGAAGATCGGTTTAGAATTCAAATAATATGGTTTATTTCCGGGAACATTTAGACGGAACATATCGCGTACCGAAAACATTGCGTGACGCCCCTCCTATGTATCACCCGCGAAGAGCTTCGGCGCTGTACCATGATTCCGGGCGGGAACCTCATGTACCGATCCCTGAGCTTCGTGAAATTAGGCTTCGCAGGGACGGAAACCTCGATGTCTGAGGGGAAGAGGTATTGAGTCGTAATCCCTTGACTCCCCCCAGAACAAGGCCAAGAGCTCGAGTATACGCTTGCTTCGGCATCTCAGGCTTTCGAGTTGCAGATGCTTCCGTTCAAGCTCCACGGGATCGATGGGGGCTGGTAATCGGCTCAGTGACGGGCCGATCTCCTTGATTTCGGCCAGCGGGCCTCGCGCATGATCTGCTCGATAACGGGATGGAAAACGCGAGGATGCTTGATTTTGTAAACTTGTAAGATATTTATTGTTCATGGCGGCGAGCGAACTTTTTGCCGGAACGAGGAATGACGGTTCAGAGGTTGAAAAGCCGTTGCTTCCCACGATGGAAATCGATTCCTTTACTCTCGGGACGCTGACCCTCCAACAACTAGCTGAGTCTCCGATAAGCAAATAAAATGTCCGAGTGCGTAAAAATACCGAACAGTAACTGTTTTGCTCCGAACTCTCTGACAGAAGACGATTAGAGATATATATGGTCATTTGGGTACGTTTCTCGATGATGATCGAGGGAAAAAGATAATGACTTGAACAGGGATTGAACGTGTTGCTCACGTGCGATTTGACAATACTGTGTCATGTTCCGTTCGCGGGTCAGTGAGCTTAGGATTTCCATTCATCGAAAAGTTTACAGATCTCACTGAAAATTGCGTCCTTATCGTTGCAGTTTGCGTCGATGCTTCTGACAGTGTCTTTGGCTTCGTAATACTTGATGATGGGCATCGTGTCTTTTTGGTAGGTCTGGAAACGTTTTTTCGACGATTCGAGGTTATCGTCGGGACGACCGCTACCGGCCTGGCCTCGCTTTAAACAACGCTCGGTTGCGACCTGTAATCATAGCGGGTCAAGCTGAGCGTAACAATCGCAGTAGGACGACGGATGACTCCATGAGACAGCTAATAATTCACGGGCGAAGTAGAATCAATTCAACCATATTAACGATATCGCTGAAGGGCTCGACCCGGATCAGAGAGCCCCCGGAACCCGTAGAGATGACTCACCTCCTCTGTGCAGGAGAGAAGGAGAACGAAACATTCTTTCACTTTGTCTCCCATTTGCTTTCGCCGCCCATCGAGATTCTCTCGGTTCCTTGGGAAGCCGTCGATGAGAAATCGATTCTTTCCGCTCTCCTTCATTGCTTTCTCGATCAGCGAGCAGGTATTTTCTACCGGGACGATGGTTCCGTTCCTTATGTGACCTTCGATCAAGTCACCGTATTCGGAACCGGGTGTTGAGCGCTCGGCGCGAAGCAGGTCTCCGGCTGACAGATGAACGAAATCGAAAGTCTGCTCAAACGATACCCTCCGATTAGAATCGAGACTGAATCAGGCTCCCAGACTATTAAAAATAAGCATCGGAATCCCGTTCCTCAACCTAAAATTGTATATACATCTTCGTCCTCTTGGAAGAATTCCCTGGGAATTACAGAGGAGTTCCTTGACGTCCTCGTCGGTTTTTTCATCGAGAGAGTACCGCACCTAAACAATGTTGGCGCATTGTGTGCCCTTGCCAGATCCCGGAGGACCAAGAACGAAGACCACGTTTGGTGATCCGGCCATATTTCTCGACATCTGGGAGTGTATAAGCGAACTCAATGAACGCCTGCCAAATGAATTCAGGATTTCAGTGCGAGAAAGACGTTCCCGAGCGAGAACGATTTCCGCTGGGAATCCCAAGCAAAAAATAACAGTATTAAGAAAAAATGAGAATGTGCACCAAGATCGCTCGGTTCCTTTGAGCGCTATCTCGAATTTCCGGACTTGAATTCCGTACCGCCGGAGCGCGATACGCAGTGAAAACGATATTTCTGCGATGAACGTAACCCCTATATTTACAGGTTTTTATTCTGCGATAACAGGTCGACAAGGAGGAGCGCACTCAGAATCCTCCACAGTTTTCAAAATCCGTATTTTTTCTGCGTCTCCCTCTTCGTCATGCGATTTGTGGCCCATTGATTTTTCAGCTCGTTCTCTCGAGCTTTCGCTTGGAATGCCAGATGCGTTATGTGATGCTTTGATTTGTGTAATCGACTCAGCTCGGGACCCTCTTTGAGCGATGGTCGAGAATCTTCCACGGTGAGATTTTTGGAAAGATTCGACCGAGCTTCGGCGGTGAAATCGGCAGCGTCGATGGAGAAGATTTCAATCTTCTCCTGCCTTCGCCCTCGAAGTTTCTGCAGAGCTTCCTCGGGGATATCCTGCGAGCCGGAGGCGCTCACAGCCGGTAAAGGCTCGGGCTCGACGGCCGGTTCGAGATAGGTTGGAAGTACCGGGCCCACTTCTGGACTTGGGGGTCGCTTCTCTCGAGGTTTGATATCCTCCGCGGCAACGAGCTTTTTCAGTTGCTCTTCGGATAATTTTGGTTCCTCGAAGCTGAAGAAAGTCGACGGTGTGTCGCCGTCATCATCATCGCCTCCAGGGCCCGGCGCTGCAGCTTGCAGAGGAGCTTTCGGTTTGGGCTTCGGTTTCGGGGGAAGCGGTTTCTTGCCCAGACTATGAGGTGTCAACTGGGTGAGCTTCGTCAGCGAGCCCTTCGCGATCGGTGCCGAAGTCGGCGGCGGCAACATTTTCAAAAGATTCGACATGGCGGAACTTTTCACGATTCGTTTCTTGGCCATCGGCTCGTCGTCGTCATCCTCGTCGAGCTCTGACAGCTTCGGGATGAAAATCTGTCGTTTCGAGGGCTTCGGAAGCGTTTCGACTTTATCCTCAGGTTCCGGAATCATTTCAGCCGAATCTTCCCTCTTCGGAGCCGGCTGTGAGGAAAACAGAAACAGAGCAGGTCCCGCGTTATTAGTGGAGCTCGGCACCTCGGGGATGCCGAAGTCATCATCGTCGTCTACGATGGAATCTATTCCGGACGCGAGACTCCCTTGCGCCTGCTCCCGCGCAGGTTCTTGTCGCTTTCCCAAGAGGAAGATGACACGGCGACTCATCTTCTCGATAGATGGCACCTTCGGTACTCTATATTCGACGTGACTCGAAGCTGGGAGGATCGGATGAAGCAGGATCCGATCTAACAGCCCTTTTTAAGACACTTTGAGCAAGGGTTGGACGCTCGTAGCGACCCCTTGCCCAGCCGGAAACCTCCTCTGCCAAGACTTCAATCACCGAGCGACCCGTGGTCGCTCTGGGGTGAACTCGGAAATTTTTCACGCTAAGAGTCCTGTCGCTTACACTACTTGCCGGGACCTCCTCGCCTTTCTTATGCGTGGGGACTTCCCTGCCCTCCTCGGGCCAATTCGTCTGCCTCTTCTGAGATTGCTCAGCGCCTGAACTCCCTAGCTCGTATAAGTCGAATCGGTCGCTGCATTCCGACTCGATCAGGAGCTCCGCGAAGAGCCAATTAATGCATGAGCGAGTTGTTCGGTTGTTGTTGTTTATTTAAGACTAGCGTAGCCTGCCACGTTGTACCGCGGCTATCAGCTTATATCCCACATCATTGAAGCTATCTATGATGCCATTCAAATCCTGACATTCTTTGCAGAATCAGGCAGGGATGATTGTTTTTATGGCATGACCAACGCCGTTGGTTTAATGTCCATTCGTGGTTGTGAAAATTGAAGTCCTCAGTGTGTTGATTCCCGACTTGGGAATCTTTTATTCCGTGAGCTGTTTTAGTGAAACCGCTTAGGTCGCTTGCGAATCGGGTCACTGAAGCTCGAGCTTGGTCTTCGAACGCGATATCGCTTCCTCAATCGGACTTGATAAAACTGAGTTCTTTCCATTCAGTCGCTTGCCTTGCAATATGTTTCAGGATTCGGCTTTCAGCATTTTCCGTTGACAATATGACGAATGCGTCGTGATTATCGAGCTCACTCCCCGAGTGGGTTATTTATCGGCGGTTTCGGAATTTCAAGTTCGTCGAATTCTTCACATTGACCCTCACGGATCCACCAATTCTGTAATCCGTTCATGTTTACGTCGTCTTCTTCGTGTTTGATGACCGTGCTATCGGTCGTCGCTAGACCTTCTTGCCAGCATACTCTCGGTGCTCTGCACGACGATGACAGCTGCTAGCGAGCTCATCGGATCGGAACTGACCGAAAACTCCCGTAACCCGCGCGTGCTGATGGTCCTCCGGCAGCGATTCACGGAAGGGTTACTCAACTTTCGAAATGGAGAATCGATCATCCTTTCTGTGCAGATCA